CCGAGCACGTAGCACGTACCCATGACGACCCCGCGGAAGAGTGGGGTTGTCTATTCATGGCTGCCGCCTTCCCAGTCCTCCCCTGCCGTCCTACAATCTCCCGGGCGCGTGCGATGCACGCCGAGGACCTACCGCACACGCCAGGCGACCCTGCACAATAACAGAACGTCTAGTCGCGAGCTTGGGCCCTCCGCGCCACGCCACCGCCTTCTCGCCCTGCCACAGCCCTGCTACATCGCCGCGCCACCCTCTACCATGCGGCCGGCGAGCGTGTGGGCGAGCGAGCAGACGGCGGGAGAGTGGGCTGGCGAGCGGGCGAGCGGGCGGGCGGGTGAGCGAGCGGGCGGGCGAGCATGACTGACGAATGGAAGGTGGGCACGGAACAATCATGAGTGACTGCGACGGGCAGGGCGCGCGCAACGCACGCCAACCGCGAGTACCTACACGATTGCCCACGGATCCGCGGCCCGTGGACATCAGTTCGCCGAACCTCGACACGATAGCCCGACGCCCAGCAAGTGGGGTGTTGTCGGAAACGGCAAGCACAGTGGCGAAGGCAGGGTGGGTATGTGGGTGGGCAGACAGGTAAGATCACGATGAGTACTAGCTGGTAGTTTACAATGTATTGTATGTCTATTAGTACTACGTTCTGTTACGCTCTAAGTAGCAGTCTGACGACCATCTGAAATGGTCTGAGCAACGGTCTGAAGGCCGTCTGACATCAGAGATTGCTTCTGATGTCAGAACTAATCTCCCGTTGTCAGACGTGAAGTCTGACGGGTCTGAAGAGTCTGAGTCAGTACTCTCAGACTGCTTCAGACAAACTCGCAGTTTTGCTGATGTTTCTACACTCGACAACGACGATAAGGCGCGGGCCGACCTGCTGGACAAGCTCACGCTGCTATTTAGCCCCGGTGCCGTGTTGAAGGAGGGCGACGATGCCCAAGCTGTAACGTTAGAGCTCCTTGAACAGACACAGCCGATAATGGAAGGAAACCTTCACGTTCGCATACATGCAAAATGGAGAACGTACGTGACCAGATCCCCGACCGTTGGTATGTGCATTTCTCGACTTCTCTGCAACTGGCTCTGAGTGTCGTCACGGTATTCTTCCACAGCCAGTCCCACAGTTGACCACGAACAGCACGTCACAGATCAAGTGCTGGTGTATGGCATATTTCCCCTGGATTCAGAGGGGCGCGTCACCGAGAATGATCCCGCCGCCGTAATCTTGGAATACGAAATGCAACTGCTGAACGCAGGCCAGCCTGTCGTGCTTTCCCTGAATCCCTTTGTAGATAGTGGTGATGCCAATGTCTCACCGACTACTCCGTGAAGAATCGTCATCGAGAGGTGCTAAAGGTATGCGTCCTGTACGTTTCGAGACGCGGTGTCCTGATAATGCATGAGAATTCCATAGGACACCAGGAAGCATTTGATCACAATGGGGCTTCCGATAAGCACGTCATCCTACATCTGGAAGAATGGGTCCAGACGATGCCATGTTGTATCTGAAAATTCGCGCGCGGGCGCGCCAGGGTCGTGAAACTCGTAGAGTACTTGTATCTAATGTACATGGCTGAGTTGAGTCTCTAAACATACAGAATGACCACTAGTACGCTTACTGTGTCTGAATCAAGGTCGTTCATGTGCAGTAATTTTATATTTGGGACACAGCGGCGCTCCAGGTTTTGGTCGCATGCTGCTTGGCAGTACACTGTACCAACATACCAGCGAGTAGTGCCTCGTACTTCATCCTGGACAGCCTGGTACGTACGCTAATGCGTCAGCTCATCAACTACAGCGAGACTCATACATCTGTTTGCAGGGACACGAACGTTGGCCGTTGAACGTAGAGATGGCCGCAATACCCGATGCGCTCGAGAAATCGCACCACCACCACCATTGTTCACCAATTCAATGTATAACCATGAGCCTGGAAGCGCATGAACCGCAGCGATGATTCTCATTCTAATACGACTTTGGTATCAAGTTCTCGCGTAAATACCATGAGCGTCCTCCATTCCGAGTCCCTCGGCACGAAGCTCAAGCTTAGGCGGCATCACCGTTTCCGAGTCGCCGCATCGCGCCGGGAGCAGCTGCATAGCAGCGCAATGTCATATGTCATCATTAGTACAAATTCTTGCTTTGGGCAGCAACAGGCCAACTTTAAGCGGCTAGCATATACCGTACAAGACCTTCCGCAAAAGCCTTGGTACGTCCGTCGCCGGCTGTGGAGCGGTACCGAATAACTTGTGGCGACATGATGGACTGCCATTGCTGTTGCCTTCGTGGGGATGGAACGAATTCCATGGCAACAGGCAACTTGACGGAGCGTGCCTCGGTACGTCAGGCTGCACACAAGGACGGCATGCAGCTTGAGAGCATTGATCTCAGAAAGTAAGCAACCATGCGGAGAAGTCGACGCACCGACTGTGACCCTAGGCTGCATGGCTATTAATTGCAGTGCACAAATCGACTACAGAAAAATCACATACAGTGCTCGGAGGCCTCATCTGCGCCGCCTCAGGCGCGTGCTATCACGGAGTAATTTACGTGTACGATTCGTCCGCTCCGGCCTGGAGCGTTGTGCGCGGATAATGATCAGTAAGTACTTATATCATCATGCCGCGTCGAGCGGTATTTTCAGTTTGGCAGGGCCGTCAGTTCGAATCGAAGGTGCCGGCGAGGTCTAACACAATTGACAAGCTAAGCGGCCACCACGTCCCGAATTGTCTAATATTCAAAGGGCTTGTGATGATGCAGGTTGTACTTTCGTCCGCACCCTTGTCCTGGATGCCGTATTTGTGTGCAGCTTCTGAAAAACGCACCCGTTCATGTTTCCAGGGGTCGAATCACTGGCCCATCGCACAGCATTGCACGTTGACATGGGAGAAATGTAATTGCCGTAGTGGTGCCATGTCGCCGGCTTTGGGTAAGTAGCGCGGGCGTGGCTCCACAACCATGCTTCCGGTGAACACTTGTGCGGAAAGTCAACGGAAAGTGTTGTATTCCTGTTCGCACGCTGATCCTGGTGCAGGCACGACGGAGCGGCCAGAAGCGTACCTATCCCATCGACGGGTATCGATGGGCCGCGTGGAAATGACACTGTGCCTGTAAGAAGATGACAGGCCGCTCAGCGAAGCCTGGGACAAAATATAGTCCAGTAACCTTGAACGAGAGCAGACCCGGAAAGCGGCGACAGCGTAGAGGGTGTTGTGAATACATCCAAGCGAGATCGAAGCGAGCACGTAGATCATGAAGATGGAGTCGGTACAGGAGGCAGCCGCCTCGCGACATATTTCGCTGTCCGGAAGATGTGTCCTATGCCGTAGATCGCTCGCTCAAGGAGGATCTCGTTTTTCCGCACCAACCTCGACCGTAACTTCCACTTCGAAAGCCCACGGAAAATCTCGTCGAACCGGGTCTCCACTTCGGCGATGGCGGGTCGCTTCTCCGGATCGGTCTGCACCATGTCGACAACGAGCTGTTTCATGAACTCGAAACCGCGGTACCTCTGTTGGTCCGTTATGGTGAGGCAAAATTGATATATCGTTCTCGTAATGATGAGGAGACGTACAATCATGAACTCGGTTCGTATGAGATTACCAAGGTAGTAAATGTCCGTATGGAAAGGATTGGAAGGTTTGTCGTAGCCCTCTCCTCGAAATTCTGGAACGGATTTGTCGCCGCCGAGAATAGGTAGCTCTGTCGGTGATCCGTCGGTGGGGTCGTATTTGCGGGAGAGACCGAAGTCAATGTAGTAGTACTTTGGTGGTCGCTCGGTCCGACTGTAATGCGTTGCCCACCCTGAATGATCGTACTTGTAGCGCGGGTCATGAGGGTGCCACATGCCCGGATACATCACTGCCGCGTCCATCATAATGTTCATGTCGGAGACATCGCTAGCAGCACACGATGGTCAGTGCCATGAGAACGGTCACATATGACCCACATCAATAATCGTACCGATGAGCTACGTGGTTCTTATGCATGACGCGCAGTCCCTGTGAACCTGGGCATCAGCTTCGTCCTCGTTGAGAACAGATTCACTAGCACCGTGAGACGCACTTCGATCAACTGCTTGAGACATGCGACAGCCTCCCCGAAGGTCAGGAAGTCCGGGTCGTTGAAGGCCTTCAGGTAAGGCATCACTATGATAGAGATATTCGACTCGGTTGGATCAGGAAGGACCTCCAGGATGTGTACACAGCGGTTGCGCGGGTCGGAGGTAATCTGGTCAGAGGAGAGAAATTGACCGATCTCTAATTCATATGGATGAATGTCGATTTGGATTTTTTTCATAGTGACCAGGTAGCCATCAGACAATCGGGTAGCGTCCATAATGGAGGAAACCTGAGACCTGCATTGGACAAGGAGTCGCATATCCTCGACGAGTGAGGTACGCACCAAAGACCAATGACTATCTTCGCGGAACTTATTGGTTTCGCCCTCGAATGGCTTCCATCCCGGCCTATATCGTGGACGCAACATGTAACCGCGCTCCTCCAGCCATGGCTGGCGATCACGCCAGTAATATTCATCCTTCGTCAGGCTGTCCCATTGGTCGCCCCGTGCGGGCAATGTGTCCGCAGTTGACGGGTCTGCAGTCATCTCAGACGAGACCTGGCTTGCAATCAAACCGGTTTGAGAACTCAGAGGAGTAGGTGCTGGGGAGGGAGTCCCAATCGTGAGGCATGCAACATGAGACTCAGACACTCAGACGCTCGAGGGCGAACAAACGAAGCCGAAGTGGGACTAGCTGGGCTTTATTGTTCCAAGCCGCATCTTTGCGATGGCACCGACGTGGCGGAGGCAATACTGACAACGTGGGCGCTTGTTACACATCTGTGTCACGGTGTCACTTAGTACTAGTACTTGCTTAGCGCTTATTACTTAGTCTGTGCTTAGTATGCGTAACTCTCCAATCCATGCCCTCGGCGCACGGATTGTCCCTACTATGAACATTCATTGTGCATCGGGAAGGCACTAGGCCGCCAATACTATACAAGTGCTCAGGCTGGTACGCTGACATGCCGTGAGTCGCTCCCAGTGCAAACTCAGCTGACACCGATAGTTGTACATCCCAGCGTCCTGATACCACACAATTCGATGTGTCAGTGCCTGGACATCATATCAGTACGTACAAGGTCGTTCGCCGTGCTACCGCTGTCTTTTATTGTTGTTCTCCTTGTGCCCGGATCAGGACGGTTGCGACCAAGTTTCGAAAGCCCGTTGTCAGAACAGTTCTCAGGCGATAACTCACTGGCATTAGGTAAGAGTAAAGACTGGTGGGCATTGTTGTTGTTGCCGGTTCTAGAAGCTCGTCTACTGTCATTGGGACTCCAGGGACCGTGATTTGACAATCCAGGTCACGGAATAGTGCGTGCACTGCTACAGGTCGAATCGCTATAACAGCACGAGACTTCGCTTGCCGTATCGTCGCATTTGGACTCCCCCACTCCCCTCACTCTCTCTTATTCAAATTTCCATCATCATGTCCTCGAGCGATAGGTTCTCTACGTGCGACAGCCTCGGGGAGGAAGCAGTTACGGTTCGCGGGCCGTCCGTGCTGCTGATCAAGGTCGTTGGACCTCTGGTGCCCTTTGTTATCCTCCGGCAGGGCGACAAAGCTCAGGCCCTGACACTGAAGCTGCTCGAAGAAACCCACGACATAATGGACGAATCCTTGCACAATGAGCTTCAAAGTCGATACGAGAGGTAAGGGATGCTGTGGGTCTCCAAAGTTTATCTGATTTATGGTCGCCTAGGCTTGAAGAACACAGACGCGGCATCAAGGGCGGAATCATAGGGCACATGCGGCAATATGAGAAAGTCTACACGTATCAATCTGGGGCAATCAATTTGAACGGAAGGACTGTGGTAAATTCGCAGAATTTGCTTGTGTGAGTAGCTAATCACAATCAACGCAGAAATCTTCACAATATGCGCGGAGTGTGCAGATGTGGTTGAAGAAAGGAAAGTCTGAGTTCCCTCGGCTCACGCTCTGCAGGAAAAGCTCAACCAGCTCAGGTATGGATGAGTTCTTCAGCCCTCCTTAGCTTTGACTTATTCCCCAACGTGAAATCTGCCCTCTACGTTTGTCAAAATGTCTTTGCAGAGTTGACCCTAAAGACTGTGAGACAAGGGGTCCAAGACCCACCCGCGGCACCGGCATCCTGTGCGTATCTTGACAGAATTGCGTGTCATGATCTCGTAATAACATATGCTCCTTAGCCGAACCCCTGCCTGATCTGGAACTCGCAGATCTCACGAGTAAACGCGCCGAGAGGGAGTCTACCATCCACACAAAGGCTACGACAAAGAGATGGAAAACCTACGTTAAGCCATCGAACACAGACACCTTCCGCGACAGCGAGTCTACTACTCCATTTTCCATCGACATCGGCATGAACGTCGACAGCGACGCACAATCCTCTGATACAGACAGTGAGTCTGGCGTCGAAATTAGCGTCAGTTGGGGCCCGTCAGAGTCGGAGGTCGCAGTTGAGCCCCGAGACGATGTGTGAACGACATGTTGAGTCTCTTTCCATTGCATACTGCTTGGGTGCGCGCTGACATCTCCTCAGATGAGCGACCTCAGTCAATCAACGGGGATGCATGTCAGATCAATTACCGGTGCGCGGGTCGTGCTTAAAGTTCGCATATTGCGCTGGTAGCAAGTAATCTATACTAGATATTACTTGATGTATGGTGATCATTAGCTGGTATGCGCATGGGGCTATGTTTCAACGTCGAAGAGCAGCTCACCCGGATTCGCCATGGTCGTACTAGTAAGTTAAGCAATACATCTCACCGCATACTGCATACCGGGGCCGAGACTCGAGAATGCATTGCATTAGCAGCCACTGAATTCGGCTGTCCCCTGATCAAAGTGGTGACATAGACCAAGTACACGTTGACAAGTTAGCAGGACGCACTTGGGACGCAAGTACTGGGTCCTTCAGTCGTCGATGCGGTGTCGATCTCATGTTGACAACTTGTTGACACCAGTGGGCGCTCCAGCGCCTCACAGTGTCAGGACACAACAGTTGCCTAATCTGTAAGATGCACACTGTCACGTCACCTGTGACCGCGTCATTAGCGCTACTTGACCTCAGGTGTCAACTGAAGGCAAACTGAAGGTGCTGTCTACTCGCTATCCCACATAGCTCTGCTGGCTGCACATAACTTTTTCCTGATCACGTCTAACCCGTACGGAGAAAAGGCATACATATCGCCTTGCCGTTCCTGGAGGGTCAGTGCCTCCTTGAGGTTGCAAACCAGAAGCGCCCGCGTACGCAAGATGGATGAACCGCCAACGGTCCCGCTCCGGTATCACATAGCGGGGTGCTCTGAGCACAGTGGGAAGTACGTGGCAGAGAACGTTCTCGAAGACAGTCCTCTCGACCAGACGAGTCGATGGAGCGGCGCGTACCAATCGCCGAATGTGAAGCAATGGATGCTCCTGCGTTTACAGGATGTAACCGTACTTAGTTGAGTTATAACTGGGACCTATACGCGTTGCGGAGACTAACCCGCGTTTCGTAGAAAGTATCACCTTTGGGAAGGTACGCCTCATATCGTTGGCGACGTCACCTTCTGTTGCATATCGAAGTGTATCTGAGCACTCTCCTTCGTAGTTTCACAAACGTGAGTCACATCTGACTAGATCTCTATAGACCATGCTTATTCGATACTTACATAGCACATCCGTGTAACATGAAAGAGTTCAAGGTCTACGTTGGTATGTCCGAGGACAACATGACCGAAGTGAGCATTATGCGCAGCAAACGATATTCACGGTATGTAGCCTCAGCTATTGATAGGTTCTGCATGCGGGCTTGAGGAATGACTCAACGAAGGAGACCTTCTCAATACGACACTGCAATAACGCCGGAGTCTGTTTCCCTACCCGATATGTAAAGGTCTTACCCTTGTCGTAAGCACAGCCGCACTCAATTTCGAAGTCCTTGATCTACATCTGACTGTAAACAGCGCCCACGGACAGAGCTTCCATACATCGATATGGCACATTGCAATGGCAGGCATCATCGACTCGGCTTTCGTCGAGCGAGTCAAAGCACAACATGACGAGGTAGGTCTCGGCGCGTACTTTCAGATGTCCACAGCTGAGCCTTCTATGGAGTATCGTGAAGCCTCTGTATTACGCTATGTTCTCAAGCACTTGCGTCAACGGCGATTTTTGACTCCTTTCGCGGACATTCTGTCTCGCTCCGGAGTCCAGTTCGAGCACCCCATCGTCTCCTCGATGTACGAGAGCATCGTACTCAAAGGTGACTGGGCTACTGCCGAACAAAGTATCCGTCAAGCCTCTTCCGCTGGACTCTTTGACGCCTACCGGCTCTCTTGCCAGCCTCAAGCGCGGTGGACGCGGTTACACGGCACGGACGCCGACGGAGACATCCCACGTCGACGGGGCGGTCACGCGATGTGTATGGATGAACAGAACGGGCTGATCTATCTACTAGGAGGGTGGGATGGCCAACAGAACCTGGATGACCTCTGGGTGTACGACGTGCGCAAGGACACTTGGCGGATGCTCAGCATGGCAACGTCCCGGGAGAAAAACGGCCCTGGCCCGAGGGCGTGCCACAAGATGGTCTTCGATTCGAAGACTGCCGCTATATACGTCCTTGGAAGACTTGGTGAGGACGCGCTGGAGCACACGGACGCGAGGGCCGATATCAGCTCTACGACGGCAGTTCCTGCTCCGTCCACTAGTCCCCGGCCGTCGAGTGGTACAGCCGCTCCCGCGGAAACGACGAGACAGGGCAATGTGACCCCACTTCCGTGGACGGCATACTGTTCGGAGTTCTATCGCTACCATACACGAGGACTAGACGAAGGGAAGTGGGATTTGCTCTCGTTCGATACATCGGTAAGCAAAGTGGAGTGCATCATACGCCAACTAAAATCCTAATCATGTCACCAAAGACATCCGGCGGACCACCTCTGATTTTCGATCACCAGATGGTCATGGACTGCGAGGCACAGGTCATCTATATCTCTGGCGGCCGTGTCGTGGATGGAGACTGGGAACTCTGCAAATACTCGGGTCTGTACGCCTATGACATCCGCACTGGTTCATGGCAGATGCTGCAGTGAGTGTTACTTGCTACGTTGTTCGACGGCGCTTGACACTATCTCAACAGGACCTCCGACGCGAATGGACCTAACACAGCGATCACAGCGCGCTTCGGTAAGGAGTCGCCACCTGGATCACCTCCTTGCTGACATCGGGCCTGTCGCCAGGTCACTCTATGGTACTAGAGCCGGGGACTCGTACCCTATTGATCTTCGGAGGGCAACGAGACGACAGGTACCTGTCAGATATGTTCGCCTACCACATCCCAAGTGGCACCGTCACGGAACTGTTCCCGAACTTCACGACCTCCGGTGGGCCCGACGCGTGTTTCACGCAGCGAGCCGTCATCGATCCCGAGTTGCGGGAGATCTATCTGTGAGCGTGTTCTGTCTCTGACCTGTGTAGATCGGATTGAGCCTGATGAACTGCCCTCTGCTAGGTTTTGCGGACTGACTCGGAGTCCGCACGGCTCGTTGACGGTCCTCGATAACGAGTCGCCGTACTGGATCTATCGCTACGAACGCCCAGATCGTCCAGGGAGATGGGCTACCATTAAGCCCACTGACTCGTCTCCTGCCCCTGAGGCAGACTCGGAAGCGGCTGGCCCGCAGCCGCGTTACGCCCATCAGGTTGTCTACGACGCGAGCAGCAAGGTCGTGTACATGCATGGGGGCAACTCTGGTATCATCAGAGATGACGGAAGCGGTGGGTTGCATACAGACGCGGAGACAGGACGTGGACGGGCGATTTTGGACGCGCTGGATGTATCGAAGGAGAACCGGCTGGACGACTTCTGGAAGATGACACTCGAGCGGTGAGCGATGAGCGCGCTTCAGTTAGTGGTGGAGCTTGATGTTCAGTCGTAGACCCCCGGTGGAGGATGTCACGCGTAGAGCGATCTACGAGATCCGCCAGCAGCAGTAAGTCCGCTCGTTTTTGCCATCGTGCACCCTCATAATCTCTGCAGATTCCGTGAGCTCTGCGAGGACGCACCAGCAGTCAAGGCGCTCGCCTTCTTACAGGCTGAAGTGTCGTCAGTGGTGAACCACGGCAGCACAGAGGAAGCCGAGGCATTCCGAAGTCTTCTCTCGCACCTCCTCTCCTTGCCGCCTGGGGGAACACCACCCACGGCTAGGACGGCCGAAGCTAGCGCTACGCCTGCGAGCTCGTCCACAAGCACGCCTCTTCCCCGTCAGGACGAAGAGATGACAGACTCGACGAGGACGGAGGAATCGCAAAGTGCGAAGCAAGTCGCTGTCACGTATGACGAAGACTCGCAGGAAGCTACGGACGGCTCGCGACCTTCGCCAGCACGATTCAAACAGCGCACCGAAGTGTTTGAACGGCTACTCGTGTTTGTCAACGCGGACGCAAAGCAGCCAGACAAGAGTCTGCTGGAGCTGATCAACACCGATGGTGTAGAATGAGAACCGACCTGACAAACGGGCTGTGATAGATATGGGAGGGGCGTGCTTGCTACATAGATGATTTACTACCTATAAGATGGTATTTGTTTGAGTCCTCCGTCATTAGAAGCTTGCCCTCGTACGCAACCCTCAACAGCGATTACGCTCTGAGGGCCTTGATGTGGCTATGATCGACCGAGTTTCGAACATCGGCTGGACTCATAACTCGACGATGATTTAGGTTTCCAGTCACCTCAGACTTGAGCGCGAACATGCATATGACTGTGCGAGATATCACGTCCCCGCATATACTTGTGCGCAATGATTCACTCGACGACAAGCGCGATCAACTTGACCACGAGTGAATGCTACTGATAAGTATACAAGTACGAGAGTGATACACCCTGCGAGTTGGAGATGGTTAACCTCTGTTGCTGAACATCAAAGGGCGGGCGAGTAGTACTAACTTCTACACGGAATGACCGCGAATGAGTCTGCTCTCCGACTCTCATGAACTCGATTTGCCACCGGAGCGGAGCGATGGTGTTTCTTGTGTGTATTGATACAATTGTGGTATACCTCGAGCGGATTCACGACGGGGACGCATAGTAGTTCACTCGTCCAGATTGATTGCGCGACCGAACTTGGCGTACAAGATGACCTTAAGTCCCTTCATGGTCTTTTCGCACTCCTCTGCACTCTCCGTGAGTGATGAGAGCTCTTTGTTGACTTGCCCTTGATCTCGTTCGAGCTGTTTCATGGCGCGTCGGTGTGGGAGGTGTATGAACGCTTCGCCTACTTTGTACCTAGACCAAGAAGCTGGGATGAGATGGGAATAGCGGTGATCAGGATGCAGGACGTACAGGACTGGCTGATCCTCATCTGCAAGCTCGAGTTCCATCGCCAGGTCGTCGAGGGCCTCCTTCTCTTGCTGCAAGAAACATGTCAATACGCACGCACATACCTCAAGGACATGACGCGTAGTGACCTTCAGCTCTTCCATCTTGCCCTCAATTGCACGTAGACGTGTGTTCAGCTTCGAGAAAGAGTTGATGTGCTGCTGGTCCTCTGTTCGGTCAGATCAGCTCAACATCTTCGGAATTGGAGACAAGCGTGCAGACCCCAGGTAACCTCGGCATTGTCGTCGTTCTCTTCTTCCTGTGCTAGCTGATCGTCCATATGTTATACTTCCATCTATCGCTACACGCAAGAACACGTACCATTCGCATCTTGGGCAATTCGACAAGACCTGGCGTGGTCGGATGCGCGAAGGTCGAGCGATCGAAGAAG